AACGCCGTTTACCTTCCCGCTGGAGTGGTACCTATTTATCTGCTTGCTCTTTGATGTCCTTTTGAACTGCTAGGTTGGCAGGAGCAGGGACCGAGCAACGGGAGCTCACCCCGTCACAGGGATTCGAACTGCCTTCTGATTGGCAAGCCCTAGGCTCTGTGGTTTATGTGTCCCATGAATCATAGAATGGTAGTATTGGAAGGGACGCCAGGGGTCACTTAGTCCAACTCCTTGAAATGCAAAGTCCCCGGTTGCCAGGGATGTTTGGGACTTTACCTGGAACTTCTGCCAAGGGATGGCACTTTCTCTGCCCCGTATTTCAACAGCACCAATGCTCTGTGCATCAATAGGGGCCTGTGTCTTAGATGTGCATGTCAAATACATGTTTAACATCAGGACTAGTTTAGGGAAGGACTGCAACTCAATGCTAGAGCAGCTGCATTGCATGCAGATGGCCCTGGGTTTAACCCCTGGCATCTCCAGGTAGGGCTGGGATAGAATCCTGCCTGAAGCCCTGGAGAGCCACTGCTAGTCAATTTAATATCTAGTATCTAACTGCTGCCTAAGGCCTATTAATTTGTTCTGTAATGGCTTGTTCCAAATTGGTTGGTGTTCTACATACTTATTTAATTTGTAAAATTACTTGCTATTCATGTTTAATCCCCAGGATTTATTTATTTTAAAAAAGCAGGTCTTTTTTTTTAGAACAGGTCCTCTGATAGCTACCTTACTTGTACCCCACATATTTGACCAGCTTTCATTGGGGTTTTTACATCAGGGTTGGCACTCACTGGGTGTTCACTTACTCATTTTTTAAAAAACCAAACCAGGTGAAACAAACAAACAAATTTATTTTTGAATAAGATTTGTTTGGGCAAGAATAGAATGTATAATCTTCCCCATTAATATTAAAGAAATTCCCTGCGTCAATGATATATAAACCAAAGGATTGAAGCTACAAGAGAGGAGATTCCGACTAAACATCAGGAAAAAATTTCTGACGGTAAGAGCTGTTCAACAGCAGAACAGACTCCCTCGGAAGGTGCTGGACTTTCCTCTGCTGGAGGTATTAAAGCAGAAGTTGGGTGTCCATGTACTGTGGATGCTTTATTTGAGATTTCCAGATTGCAGTGAGTTGGACTAGATGACTCTCGAGGTCCCTTCCAACTCTACAACTCTATGGTTCTATGTCCTTTGAAAACAGTTTCCAGGAGTAAACCACTTGTATTTTGATGTTGTTGGTGTTCTATGCAAACTTTTATATTGGATTCCAGGAAAGTTTCCTCCTTTAAAATAGTACAGTGGTACCTTGGGTTACATATGCTTCAGGTTACATATGCTTCAGGTTACAGACTCTGCTAACCCAGAAATAGTGCTTCAGGTTAAGAACTTTGCTTCAGGATGAGAACAGAAATCGTGCTCTGGCGGCGCAGCGGCAGCAGGAGGCCCCATTAGCTAAAGTGGTGCTTCAGGTTAAGAACAGTTTCAGGTTAAGAACGGACCTCCGGAACGAATTAAGTACTTAACCCAAGGTACCACTGTATTACCTTCAGAATGCTCTTCAAGTTTGTCAAGAAAATTATGGTAAATGTTTGGATCAGAATTTGGGGCCTACCAATTAGCTAAAGTCTTATGGTGTCCTGTTGTTTTAACTAAAAGATAAACTTGTATATTTAATGGGTTTTTATTTTAAGAATGAAGCCAGTTTATCGAGAAGCACTTTTCAGGATTTAAAAAAAATATATGCAGAAAAACAAGGGGAAAAAGCATTTGGTTTCCATTGATTCTCGAACAAAATGTCCTGTGTACATATCCCTACCCTGGAAGTGAAACAGAATAAGTGCTCTCTGTTGCACTTCCCAGCATCTTTCAGTACCATCAACCATGGGATCCTTCTGGATCATTTGGCTCATATTGGGCTGGAGGACACCATACTTGGGTGGATCTCGTCCCACAAATAATGTGTTTCATGAGCTGTGAAATGTTGTTGCAGCTTTTTCATGCATAGTTCATATAATATCTAATGCTGGCTTACTGGGGCAACCTTTGTGACAGACCCAGTGGTGCCAATTTCTTAGGGGATGAGGAACTTGTGGCCATTGGACAACCCCCTCCCATCCCAGCCAGCATGGCCAAAAGTCAAGGTTCAGTTATGAACTCCCTTTCACTAGATCAAGGATGTGGAACCTGTGGTGTGTCAGATATTGTTGGACTGTAACTCCAGGAATCTCAACTAAAAGCATCCATGACAGATGGCCATCCAACCTCTGCTTAAAAACCTTCAAGGGAGGAGAGTCCACCACCATTTGAGGGAGACCATTCTACTCTCAAGGAGCTCTTACTGTCAAAAAGTTCTTCTTGATATTTAGTCAGAATCTCCTTCCTTGTAACTTGAATCCACCGGTTTGGGTCTATTTTTGGTAGTGCTGATTCTAATTGTTTTACTGCTGTGGTTTTTAAACTGTATGTCAGGATTTGCATTTGCATTGTTTAGGTTTTGCATTCCTCCCAAGCAGCTGGTTTTCCCATGAGCTGAAATCAGCAGCAGGCGATGTAAAACTAAGGGGGGATGTTTGCAAAACCTCAACTTTAAATTATAATACGAAAGGCTAATATTAAACACAGCTCCATACATGACACACTTTTTGTAGTGCAGTGCCACACTCAAGCCATGTTATCCTGACCATTAATATGAGGTTTTCATCCTGGCTGTACCAGAACCAACTAATTCCTGCCTTTGGAATATTTCTATGAAACACATAGAAATATTCTCTTCCTCTTCCTCACTTAGAACCCCAGGCAATTCCCTTTAAGTCAGTGGGAAGGCTTCTTTCTGCTGGTCCCTCGGGGACCCCAAAGAGGTCTTGAACTCTATCTGTTTGTTCCATTTCTTCCCCACGTCAGATGGCAATTTTTCCCGTGATTTATTATAAGCCACATGCATTTATCCAGCATGACATTTTAATCATGCAAATAAGGATTTCGCTAATGAATCGAAAATTAATTTGGCGACTGCTGCTGTGTACACAGTGACAGTTTTGCTAATGTTATTACACTTGTAATATGGTCAGTGGCTTCTCTGTAATTGCTATAAAGTGTTGCATTTAACACTTAGAATAAAGGTTACATTTATTTTTATTTATTTTTAAAAAACCACATAGTTGGAATGATCCCTAATTTAGTTTTCTTGGGTCTTGTTTACATCTTGCAATACCGTCTTGCACCAAGTGGGAAGGAAAATGGACCAGATAATCCACTGCAGGAGCGGAAAACCTGTGCCTAGATGTTGCGGGACTCCAACTTCCACCATCCCTGACTATTGACCTTGATGCCTGGGGTTGGTGGGAGTCATAGCTGTCAACTTACAGATTTGAAAATAAGGGACCAGCAGCCTCAAAAAGAAGGGATCAGCAGCCGAAATAAGGGATTTTCCGAGTGCAGATATGTTCAACTTCTGAGCCCCTCCGAGCCAACGGCAGAAAGCCCAGCCAGCAGCCAAACGAAGCCTCAAGCGGTGGTTCCCACAGCGCAGCAACCCGGCAAAGGGGATGCAGCAAGGAAAACCACCGTCACCTCTCCGCTGGGAAGCGCTGAGCAAAGGCGAGTCCCCAGGCAACGCGGCCGGGCACAAGGCATGCAAGTTCCACACCCCAGTTGTTCTTAGACTCCTTATTGGGTTAGCAACGCAGCCAAGCAACACAGTTGGAGCCTCCCTCCTCACAGGCCAGCAGGGAGGGATGGAGAGGAGCTGCTTCCTTTGAAACCCGGGAAATTTAAGGGACATCATCAATAAGGGACAGCAGCGGGACACGGTGCTAGGATAAGGGACTTTCCCACCAAATAAGGGACTGTTGACAGCTATGGTGGGAGTCCAGCATCTTGTTCTCACAGCGGCTAACCAGATGCCTGTGGGAAGCTTGGAAGCAGCTCTCGATTCAGCCAGACATGTTTGCAGTCCTACTAGCTGGGATCTTTATAGGTAAAGATGTGTGGGTGTGTGAAATTGAAACCAAGGCTTCTTATTTGCCATTCAGATGAAATTAAAATCAAATCGGATTTTTGCAGTGTTCTGATTTCGCCCACTGGAGAGACCAAGTAGCTGAAACCTGTGCACCGAAGCCCTGAAAACTTGAAACGGAATCAATGCTAGTGGAATGATATTGACTTGTGCTGCCTTCTGACCATTTCCTCCCCCTAATCCTGCCAAAAAATAAATAGATATATATTAAAAACGATTTGTTGATGCTTGGAGTGCTGGGGGGGGGGGTTAGAATTGGCATTTTTGAGACCTGTCAAGCGGATGGAGCCAAGATATTTTGAGCCTGTCTTAAGCAGGGATGATGGCAATTTAAAAAAGATGTTTCCCCCTCCCCTGTGTAGTAGTGAGATGTCAATTGGTGGTTTCGATGGACAGGGACTGCTGGTGGAGAAATGGTATTGAGCAGGAATAAACTCTAATCCAGCATGTGTGAGTGTGGCATTTTTAAAAGACAGAATATAAAATTCAAACTGCCTTAGCAGTTTGAAGGAAATAGCACATGGGAGGAAATGTTTTTGCCCGTATCCTGAGAGCCTTCAGCCTAAAAATGCATCTGTGTTGGAAACAGAGCTGGTGGGCCGGATCCTTTATGTCTCTGCCGCTGGGCCAACTTTGACTGGTGGGCAACATTACCCTCCTCATGTCCCCATTTATGTATTTATTTTTTAAAATTGATTTTCCCTCACTTCCTCCCAGGGGAACACTTCTGCGATTAAAAAACAAACAATGAAAAATAACATTTAGACCTTTAAAGAATAATATATATTTTTTAAAAAAACCCTCAAACCAATTGAAGGACAGATGTCACCAAATAATGTGCCTGGATAGGCCCACCAAAACAGAAAAAGGCTTTGCAGGAGGTGTCTAAAAGAGCACAGTGATGGAGTCTGCCTAATGACAATAGGCAGCGAATTCCAAAGTACAGATGGTGCCATACTAAAGGAACTCCATACAGAAATGATTCCATTTTCCATAGTTCAGTCAGTAGAGCATGAGATTCTTAATCTCAGGGCTGTGGGTTCGAGCCCCACATTGGGCTAACAGATTCCCTCATTGCAGAGGGTTGGACTAGATGACCCTTGTGGTCCCTTCCAACTATTCTATTCTATTCTATTCTATTCTATTCTATTCTATTCTATTCTATTCTATTCTATTCTGATTCATTTGCCCTCTTGCAAAGCCCTGCTGTCCCTTTGTGGTGCTTGCACAGAGCTTTGTTGACCGGCAGTGCCTACAAACCTCCATTTGACAAGGAGCCACATCTTTACTCACCCCACACCTGACATCATATATGACAATAGGTGTAGGACAGGTGGGTGTGACTTGGCTGAAGCAGCCTTGCAGGTAGAATGGGGGAGCCTGGTGGGCCTAATTCGGCCTCCAAGCAAGCGAGTTCCTCCACTGATCTAGAGACACAAAATATAGGACATGCAGGCAGGTTAGGACAAGGTGGCCCGTGGGGCTGAGGCCCAAATCTTTCATGCCAGGCCCACAATCCATTTCATTTGTTGAGACATTAGGGGGAGAAAAAAAAGGGAGTGGAGGGGGGAGATGGGTGGGGGTGGGGGTGGGGGTGGGGTGGGGTGGCGATGTTTCTATTATGCTTAATGTATGTAGGGTTTGGTGTCAGCGTTGCTTGTGCTGTTCACTTGTGTTCCTTTGGTGGTGAGAGAGGTTGGGGTTGGTCTAGGGTGTGGTTGTTTGTTTATGATTGGCTGCGGTGATCTTTGTTTTCGTGTGTGAGTGGGGTGTGTGTGTGTTTTGGATCAGGTTAGCCATATTGATTTGTATGCTGTTGGTGGATTATTGTCATTGTCTTGTTGGGCTGTGTATGTGATAAAGGGGAGCCATACCGGGGTGAAGGCATCTTCTTCTGTTTGTCCCCGTGTCAGTTTCAGTTTATTGGTTAATTTTTCTAGTAGGGCTGTTTCCTATACTATTTGGTACCATTGGTCCATGCTTACTCCTGACAGGTCTCTCCAGTGTCTGGTTATGGTGTTTCTGGCTGCTGAAAGTAGGTGGGTTATGAGTTCTTTGTGGTGTAAATGGGCATTGTTGTCTTGGAAGATGTTTAGTAGGGCCAATTCTGGGGTGATGTCTAATACTTGCTTAGTTATTTTACATATTTCTCGTGCGGCTGTTGTCTAGAATAGTTGGATTTTGGGGCACTCCCACCACATGTGGAGGTATGTGCCTGTGGAGGTGCACCCCCCAGGCTGGTTTCTGGTTGCTGGCTATTGTGTGCAGGCAGCATTGGTTAGTGACAGGAGACTGACAGGATTGTACAATGTCTGGAAGGCATGGAGAGCAAGAAGTGAGCATGTGTATGAATGAGAAACCGAGGGCATGTCTAGAGACAGACTATTGATTCGCACAAAATTTGGTCGTTATCCTGCACTTCCTAATGCAATTGTACCACTATCCCTTTTGAAACTGCAATGGAAAGAAAAGTGGCAGAAAACTGCACTGGTAAGTGCAGACTAACAGTTACTGGTTGGCAACGTTGTATGGACCTCTGTGCAGATATAGCGGGATCAATGTCAATCGACAGACATCATATAACCTGTGCAAGTTCTGTGTGAACAGCTCAGCATGAATGCTCAAATAAACAACTGATCTAGAAGCTCCCAGAGGACAGGGGAGAGAGAGATTATATACAAGATTTTGGACAAGGTTTGTTTTATTTTAATATGTACATATGTTCTTGCCAAAAGATTGGGGTGGGTGTGGGGAAATCTAGAAACCGTATACCCAAATACCCAGTTGCTCAGACTTACATTGTGACCGCAAGATCCATAGGTTGTTTTTTCCCTCTGAAATTTGGCCTAAATTTGCACCTAGATTTTACGCAAATATATGCTCTGGGTCTGTGCTCTGGGTCCTTTAGCAATGCCTCTGAATTCATTGCACTGAAAGTTTCCCACCTAACAGGCACCTGCTTGCACTAGGGAGGTGACTTAAGCACAGTGATGATACCCATCACACATGTGTCAACAGCAGTTACTAGAAAAATGGACGCAGGTGGCACTGTGGTCTAAACCACTGAGTCTCTTGGCTTGCTGATCAGAGGGACAGTGGTTTGAATCTGTGCAATGGAGTGAGCTCCCGTTGCTCTATACCAGCTCCTGCCAACCTAGCAATTCGAAAGCACGCCAGTGCAAGTAGATAAATAGGTACCCCTGTGGAGGGAAGGTAAACAGCATTTCCATGCGCTCTAGTTTCTGTCATGGTGTCCTGTTGCACCAGAAGCGGTTTAGTCATGCTGGCCACATAACCCAGAAAGCTTTCTGTGGACAATTGCCAGCTCCTTCGGCCTGAAAGCGAGATGAGCGCCGCAACCCCATAGTCACCTTTGACTGGAACTAACCTTTTTTTACCTTACCAGGAAAGTGGGGGAGAATGAATGGACGTTGTATCTGTGGGCACTTCTGGATTACCTGCTTATTGATTTGTTTGCAGAGACAGCAGGTGGCGCTGGTTATCAGCTTCCTCTTCCTTGGCCTCAATACTGCCCTTGTAGCAGGAGGATGGGGAACACAAGGAGAATTAGTGGACTCCAACTGTTGTTGGTCTGGCTCCACCTACTGTTGGCCTTCCTAATTTCTGCTCCACTAGTCTCTTGGGCACCAATCACCACTTCCAGAATCTGCAAGGAAGGAATAAGAAAGAGAGGAACCCTGGGCTATGAATCTAACCCTGGGCTATGAAGTTCATCTACCACTTTTTATCCCCTGTATATCTTGCTGCCTCTCTATTTTGGTTCATGTACACTGCAGTAGCAAAGAACTGACACTAGATAGCACACTCTACTGGTCATGAGAAACCCACTCAGAAATCGCATTGCTGTTCTCTGCTAAAGAGAAAGGCTGGCAGTCTGGGGGTGGCTTTGACAGGCTTCAAAAATAAATAAATCTATTGCATGTTATTTCTTGCAGCACAGGGAGAAACAGCTGCTGCTTTTTAGCGGAGGTGCTAAGTAAAGACATTGTTAAAATGTGTGTCAGCCCCAAAGAGCAGGTATATTTCAAATCCCTATTCAGGCAATATCCTTCCTAGGCCAACCAAATACCATAAAGGCACTGCCCTAACATATCGTATTTTGGAATTGTTATGAGCTAACCCAGCCACCACAGGCAAGAGTCCACCAGCATCCTCCCCATCCATCCTGAATGGTAAAAGGGATGGATGCTGTCATCCACCCTGAGGTCCAGCTCCGAGGGCCTTCTTGTGGTTCCTTCATTGTGAGAAGTGAGGTTACAGGGAACCAGGCAGAGGGCCTTCTTGGTAGTGGCACCCTCCCTGTGGAACGCCCTCCCATCAGATGTCAAGGAAATAAACAACTATCTGACTTTTAGAAGACATCTGAAGGCAGCCCTGTTCAGGGAAGTTTTTAATGTTTTTTAAGTTTTTGATGTTTTATTGTGTTTTTTAATATTCTTTTGGGAGCCAGATGGGCAGGGCATAAATAATAAATTCCTCCTCCTCCTCCTCATCATACAACCCCCTTCCCCATATGCTTTTTCAACTGGATCATTCAGATCAGATGCCCTAAGATGTTAGCTTCTGACTTTCTGGGGTGCTTAGTATGAAATAAAAGCGGGGGGGGGGGGAACCGAGGGAGTCTCCAACAACTCACCCACTAGACTTCACAGGATGCTTGAGGGAGGGAACTGGGCTGTGTTCCCCACTCTCTAACAGAAGTGTGATATGCAGAAATAAGAATATATGAAGAATGCAGCTGGACCAGGCCAAAGGCCCATCTAGCCCAGCATCCTGTTCTCTCACAGTGGCCAACCAGATGCATTTCTAAACTGTATGGAATCAGCTGATGAACAGTATCCACAAGGTTTCCCAAAGCTAGTTGACTCATACCCTGCTAACTTGAAGATGAATCTCTGTGCAGAGTTTAATGGAATGGGAAAAATGAAATTCAGGCACACTGAACTTCATCTTTCTTCTTCTTCTTCTTCTTCTTCTTCTTCTTCTTCTTCTTCTTCTTCTTCTTCTTTTTTGGCGATCACTCGTAGCCCAGTAAGATTGTCTTCCAAGAACACGGTTTTAACAGTGAGTCTGTAAGTGACTGTGGAGGGCATATGGAAAGCTCTTTAATTTAAGCAGGCTGAAAGCAAAGAGTAAAGTTACCGTAACTTCCGTCATGGAGCTGCAGTATGCTGATGACAACGTAGTGTGTGCACACTCAGAGGATGACCTCCAAACCATCCTCAATATCTTAGAAATCTCGCCCAACTCCTGCATTAAAATCACCCAGGAGGATAATTTTACCCTCCTTAGGTGTCTTTGATAGGATGATATCCAGTTGAGAGTAAAATTGTTCTTTAATGTCTTCATTGGCATCCAGTGTTGGTGCATAAGCACTTAGAATAGTAGCCTGTTGGTTTTTGTCACGTTTCATTCAAAGGGTTGAAAGTCGCTCATTAATGCTGGTAGGGACTTCTGACAAGAGCTTCACAAGATCGTTTTTGATAGCAAAGCCTACACCATGTACTCAACCTTCTTGTTCAGGTAGACCTTTCCAGAAGAAAGTGTAGCCTCTTTTTTCTTCCTTCAGTTGTCCCTCACCTGCTCTTCGAGTTTCTTGAAGCGCTGCAATATTGATGTTAAAACATCACAACTCTCTTGTGGTGATAGCAGTACTGTGTTTGGGACGCTCATTATTCAACGAAGTCCGTATATTCCATGTTCCAAAGTTCAATTGTCTTTTACGGCTGCTGGGTGGTGACCCCACTGGGCGCGGTAATCCAGTCGGGGAAAAAGGGAGGCAGACTATGTTTAGGGCACCTTTTCTATCCCCTCCCCCCTTTCAGGCTGAGCAGAGTGGATCCTAAATAGGGCTGCTCAGTCATGGATACAGCTGCCGAGCTGCTCAACTGCCTCATTCCTTGAGTCAGAGCGACTGAATCTGTATCCACCACCCGTGTGCCAGTTCATGACTAGGGGCTTCCAGATTTCACAGTCCTGTCCCCATTACCATTTGCCGATTGCCATGGGACTTTTGGCGTTTGGGTTTGGGATTGGTTT